TTGTGTTACTTGTCAGTTGGGAACATTAAAGTCACTTGGAAGTAAAGACAGGTCCTATGCAAAGATCTCTGATGCAGATCTCGACGCTTGTCCGGCTCTCTGCCCTTTTCCGCTGCAAACAGACAAGAACGGATGCAACGGATATCACTCTCAGGCTCGGCCAACGACTGTTTTGATTTAGCTCTCGAGGCTCCCACGAGAGCTTCCGGCCATTGATGTATGTTCTGGCCTTCTTCCATGCTGTGGTCCAGGAGACTTGTATGGCTTGTGGTCCAGACTGTGCTTCGGTCGAACAGGGGCAGATACACATCTGTCTAATGAGGACCGTCGAAAGTTTGGGCGGATTGGATGGAATGTTGCATACGACTTCAATGAGTCAGACTTCAAGGCCGCAACATTGGTCTTGGTTCGATATGCAATTTAACAGGACCGATCACACTTGTATCCAAGCCCACAAGGCTTCCTCTGGCAAATTCAAACCTCCGAAAGGTTTCGGCACAACTGCTGAACCTGTACTTGCAGAAGAGCCACGACAAGGGAGAGGTTCTCATAGCATAGATTGCCAAAGACCAATTAATGATTTCTGTGTGACATTTGTAGGTCCTGCCGTGGGAGACACTCCGCTACCTCATTGGCGAAGCCATGTGCCATTCCAAAGCCATGTTTCCTTTCGCAAACAACGGTCGACTCACGGAGGTACGGTGGTCGAGTCACAGACAATTACGACAGGCGCTCCGATGCACACAGGCGCTCCTATCCAGCAAGCTTTTGGCTCTCTGAGGCGTGTGCTTACAACATACTTGGAAGAGTACATGGGTGACTTTCTTTTTGCACAGAGCTTAATGACATGTCTTCCAGCACTTTCCTTGGTGAGCATGTTGAGTTTTCCTGTCTCATTTTGGTTGCGCTGCGAGATTTTCGATGAATTCTGTTCGCCGAGGATGAAAATGTGAAGTTCTACTTTAGCCGTTCGGGCTTTGACTACGATTGTCCCTTGCAGGTGAGACTTAGCAACTCTCGTTGCAGCAACTCCTTTCAATCAAACCAAACATGATTTTATATGTTTACCGCTACTAGTAACAATTGGCATCGCCACTAGTAACAAGGGCATACTACTAGTAGCTAGAAGCTACTAGGAGGACAGGGCATCGCTACTAGGAGTCCTGGCCTTACTACTAGGAGCAAGAAGCTACTAGGAGCAAGGACGCTACTTATGGACCACTTCGACTCGTGCAGGGGGGCGTTTCGTCTTACCAGCAAGTCATTTTAACGCTTCCCATCAATCAGCCTGGGCCTTACAATTTGGCCTAGCTAAGATGGAGAATCGTGGAAGTGGCAAAGCTGCTTCCAAATCAGGTCGCCATCTGTTTTTGGCCTGCATCCAAATGCAGAAATCAACTACTTCATGAACTCTGCAAAGGACGGCTGCCTGAGAGGAAAGCATGTTGGGCAATCGAGTGATCCTTGCTTCAGGAGATCTACTCAGGGTTGATGTCTATGCAGACTGGCGGAGGGCCAGACTCTGGTGGAATGAGCCGCGACGAGTCCTTTCCCCAAACATCATGTGAAGCGGAGCTTGCGATGAGTCCTTGAAGCCACAAGCCCAGGTTGATCAACAAGACGGCCACAGATATTCAAGACAAAATCCCAAAGGATGAGCTGAAATTCTTGAAGGACTTGTCCGACAGTGTTCCAGAAAATCAGTGGCGGAGGCCATCGCTAGCAGGTTGGAGGCCGTCGCTAGTAGGTTGGAGGCCATCGCTACTAGGGTGGAGGCCATTGCTATTAGTGTAGGTTCCTTGTGCTATTAGGGTGCAAAGGGTTGTAGTTGTTGCACTGCAGTGCAACGATATTGGAGGACACAGTCCCATCGCCGCTGGAAGTGGTTCTGATGCAGGCCAGCGAGAAAAGCGAGCAAGGACTAAAGGTTACACTCACGTCCAAGATGGCTACCCTTGACCTTGTAATTATTGGTGTTCAAATTGTTGGGATATTGGGGTACTATGCTACTACATCCAATCGGAGGAAGCGTTGAGAGTTGTGTGTGATTCTGGAGAGCACTGAATTTTTATAGCATGACCAATATAGTCTTAGCAAATGGAAGCAAATGGATGCAAATGGAGAAGCTGCATGGTCCCGCTAGTGAGACAGACATTGTAGGGAGAGTCAGCGTGTTTGATTATGTTTTAGATATTAGAAGCAAGGACGCTACTAGTGGCTCCTGGCCTTACTACTAGGAGCAAGGACGCTAGGGGCAAAGGGCATCGCTACTAGGAGCAAAGGACGCTACTACGGGCGCTCCTCTTTGCCTCAGGAGATCGAGCGATATGAAGCTCTTGTAAAGCGCATGGTGGCGAACCTTGCGGTGCGCCAGCTTTGATTGTGCAGAATTTGAAAAGAGAAAGTGCATTGTATAACGTTGGCAGGATTTGAAGCGTGCAATCAAGGGTGAGATTGGCATGAGCCAGGCCGCCACTCTTAGTAGTATTTTCCAGTTTTTCTAGAGTAGCTTCACATCCGACAACATTGTATTCTTGAGCGATCATTCCGCGAGTGAACACGATCATTTACTTTTACCAAAGCCACATCAACGACGATCTCCGAGATGGGAATTCTTCAAACCGTTGCATCCTGACCTTTGCTCAGGCCCTTGACACACTAGGCGGCTCGATGTTCAATGGGCTTGCGGCCAAGATATCTCTCGAGCTGAGGGTGCAGCATGTGCTTCCTAGTTCTTTAGACAACCCCGGCCATTGATGACACATACAATAATGATGAAATTGTGAAGCCACGAAAGCTAGCTGTTGCTAGCTGGAGTCTGTCTTGCTTTAAGGAGGGTGGGAACCCAGGACCTGAGTGCTAACACCTGATATATCAGGAGTATACCCCCCCTATCAGGAGTATACCCCCCCCCCCTTTTGTCGCTGCTGCTGCTCCTCTGCCCTCGGCCATGACATGTTGCGATTCAAAAGAGCCCCAGCGTTGTTTCTAGCTTTCGCCCCCCCCCTGGGCCACAAGTGGAAGTTGCGAGCATGGGAAAGAAACAGCTTTGTAATCAACAGCTGCTGTCCTTTGCTTTGGCGGCTTTTCTCAGCTTGTTTTGTTCATATTGCTTTGGTGCGATGTAGCCTGACATCTTCAGGCTGGTTCCCTCCGCGTGGACAAAGATAGCCCCACAAACAGAGAAGCCGCTGGGCAGCTGGGTGCGGTGTCCAAGCTCGTCACTGCGTTTTTGGTAGGAAGGGAAAACTGAAAAAAAGAACAGGTGCTTGGGCCTGCTTGGGCCTCTTTCATAAGGATGCCCTTTAAAGGGGCCCAGGCACTTGTTTCTAATAGCTTCTTGTTTCTACTAGTAAGGCACCTGTTACTAGTAGCGTGGCACTTGTTACTACTAGCACTTGTCAATCTCGTCAGACTCGCTGCATCGACTTAGATGGATCACTTTGTGCGCCGATACAAGCAGTACTCGGACAGTGGGGGAGGGCTGTGGTGGAAGAGCAGACACACCGCTGGAGCTGCTTTGGTTCACCCTCACATTGCACGAATCATATCGTTGGCCAACATGATATCACATAGATCTTGTGACACCGAGACGAACTTTTGAATCAATGCCTTCACGTTTCCAAGTCTGCTGACTAGCTTGTTTCCTTTTGAGGAGTGGGCTGAGAAGGGAGATCCGGCAGTCTTCTGGTTGAGTGGTTTCCACATCCCTGAGAGTTTGCTCAGTGCTCTGGTGCAGGCCCAGATGTTTGCAAGGTTTCATGTGGTGATGTGCACAGTGATGTGCTGGTTTGCTGCGTCCTCCTTGCTTGTGATTGATTTCAAGTTTCCTCAAGTCTTGAGCAGGCATCTTGCAGGCGTCGTGGATGGGCTCTTGACAAATCAACTCTCTACACAAAGGCCAGCGGCAGCCAATGCCATTCAACTGTTGAACGTTCAAAGTAATTATTATTGAATTCTTAATCTTTAAACATTATAAATACATCCTTTTCTTTAGCTTTAGATATTTCATGTCTTTTTATCTCTTTCTTTAGACCTTTTTTCTTAAAAGCGGCCAAAGGCGGCCAATACCATGCAACTGTTGAATGTTCAAATTTGGCGGCGCTGCGGAGGTCACATCTTACACCGAGCGAAGCCAAGTCCCGGAGAAGCTCATGGATGGGACCTATGTTGAGGGTTTGTGCGCCTTCTTTGATAACGCACAGGCCTTCCCGATGCGATCCTTCCTGCAGGTATCTGGAAGGAGCAAGATGGGATATGGAGGTGCTGCTACAGGGTGCTACTTTCGCATCCTCACAAGGGCCATTGCATTTTTGCATCTGCCTCTTGGAAGTGCACAAGTGATATTGCATGACAGGTTGGCTGCCTTGCTCGTCAACTGCCAAAACAGACATGTCCTTAGAGGGAAAATATGGGTCTTCAGATACATCAGACTCATTGAGTCTTAAAAGATGATGGCGCCAAAGTCACAAAGTGACCTTATTGTTTTCTCAGGCTTATTCAGCTGATGCCCTTCATTGAGGTCATTCCAGTAGAGGCTTGAAATGAAGATATATACACAAATGCTCATCAACCTTTGCCTTTTAAACCTTTGCATGTATATTGCAGAAGCACACATGCGCAGAAGAAGTATCTATACCCGAAAACGGTAATCAGGATCCTACAAATCAGCGGATGTTCTTTTTTTAATTGATCTATTCTTCTGGTTTTAGGCCAATCGACTCAAATTGAGGGACGAGCTGCCTACGCCAGTCTGTGAACTTAGAAGGGTTGCAGGGAATTCAGTCTCGCTTTATTTTGTTTCCAAGCACATGGCGGAGTTTTCTCGCGAGACGTTTTGCTTCCTGGACGCCTACAGACTGTCTCAATGTGTTCAAAATGAATGACTCAGTCCAAGCATAGCCGAGCAAGAAAAGAATTACTTAGCGAAGATGTAGCTTTCATTTCATAGAGAACATTCAGATGTGATTTTCACTGCCTTCAGCGTAATCGTTTTCAACCCGAAAATCAATGTCCCAATTCCGGCTTCCGCAGCAATGGAAGATGAGAGTGCACTGCCATCTTCACCAGAGCGAACGGTGGCTGCCTTTGATGTGGAGGCTCACCTTTCTCCACATGTGACTGTCTCTCCTGTTGACACCGGGAGGACGACAACTCAACCCGCGGATGCTATTGGCTATTCATAGATTTGGTGCATGCAGCTGCCTTAGCGCTTCAGCTCCTTCCCATGTCCTTCCCTTCCCTCATGAGAGAGTATCACCCAAGGTCCTTCTGCCATTTCTGCTTCTAACAGAGCATGGGGCGAGGCGGAACACTGGGGCTGTTGTAATAGTCGCACATGAATGAAGTTGATTACCCAGCCAGTGAGAAAGCCAGTAGAGAGACGAGCTTCATTTGTCAGGAGACGCAGCCAAGGATCCCATCCATTCTTCAACAGAATGGTGGAACGCTTGCGTAACGTGCGACCAGTGAGACTTGGCAGCGTTCTCGTTTCTGTCTCGTAGAATCACAGCAGCTCTTAAACAAATTACATACGTACACATACATAGTTCTAAGTGTAGATGCACAACAGCAAGTGCGCAAGCAGGTCAGACGGTTAGACTGCAGTCTGGCTGGCTCCCCTTGACATGCTATATGTGCCATCGGAACCTTCGTACATTAAAAATACTCTTTGATATTATTTGCTCACTCCTGCTGGTACTTAACTACTCATTCAAAATGCATCCACTAGCAGCTGATTTAGCCACATGTAATGGTGATAATATAGTGGGGTCGATGTTTCCTCACGTTCTCATGTTTAGAAGAAGGCATGACAGACTTGAGCAGAAGCAACAGAGAACACCTTGTGAATAAAATAACATCCTGATAAAATAGCAAGGGGGGGTCAAGCTCAATTACCCCAAAAACAGAACCCATTAGGACAGGATGTAGCAGTTTTGGTGATGAGGCGATAACGAGTGACCAGTGACACGGAAGTGGTAAGTAAGCTGTAAGCTCAAATGGATCTGGGAGGCTGACCATATTTGTACGCATATGATATATCCATGGTACAATCAGCTTCACAAAGCCGGAAGTGAGGCTGCCACGTGCTCCGAACATTTCCAAGTTCTTTCTGATGTTGCTCCTCTTTGTGCTGCTAATCAACGCGGGAGTGGCCTTTTACTCAATATGACAAATTGATTCAAAGTGGCATGTCTAATGCAGTTCAGTTGAACAGACTGAGGTCTACATGTTTTTGTCCATATCATCTATGACCCAGTTCATGCAGATGGGCGAGGACCGCCGCGATGATTCTCTTCAAGAGACCCCTCTTATGTATGAGTAACCTTCCTTTGTTGATTGGCAGCTTCCTCGAGTCTTGCACAGGGCTTTTCTTCTTTTGAGGCAGCCTATTTTCTTGCGGCTAGCAATCTCATTGTGCGTAAAGACATTGGTTGATAATGGTTGATATTTCTGGACCGCCAGATATGCCTTTGCATCGGAGCAATCCGAGTGAGGATGGCCGGCGCAGAAACATAACATTGAAGCCAAGAATCGGCGAGCATTGGAGCAATGCCACGATGGGCAGCTTGGCTTCATGTGTGTCCAAGATGTCCAGACCTGCAAGATCCTTGACTTGCCCTGTCATATGGGTTTGAAACCTGGCCCAACTGCAAGGGGGAATGGGGACCAAGGCAAATACATTCTGCAGATCATCATTATAAACTACCTTTGCTGGCAAGTTCTGGTGACATGATGCAGAGTCAGTTTACTTTCAATCAACGAGCAATAGAGAATTGGTGAGTGACACAAGGCAAATGTGCATGTTTCCTATTGTTCAGTTTTGCTTGCAACCTCTTGTTGGACACAAGGAACACGACCCGAAGATTGCAAAGATGCGCCTGCAGGATCCTCTACACTTGAACAAACCTGGCCTCATTCATGGACTTAGACACTTTGATTTTCTTAAAACAAAACTAGGCAAGGTAGCTACCCGCCGGTTCTGGTTGCTTTTTCAATACACAGCGTGAGAAGAAGTTGCAGCCCCAAACGGAGGGCACGCCGAGCTCGCAACTCAGGAAAGCTTGCTTCCTGCCTATTCTGCTACCCGTATAAGGACTGATGGACCATGATGGACCTTAGCACTTCTTTAGACAGCAATGTGCTCAACTCTTGATGTGAGGAGATATGGTTGTCCACACAATTTATCGACCACATGCTTTTGACGCTCACGGGCTTTCCATACGCCATTGTGCAGCCCATGCTTGCTTGCATCCACATTGAACTTCGAGACAACGGAATTGACACTTTCCAGAGTTCTGCTCCACAGTTGCATGCTGCCCCCGAAGTACGGGGCAGATAAATCTGCCAGCTGTACAGCTTGGTGAATCACCGATATATATATATATATATGTATACAATATATATATAAATATCAAGATATGCTTGGTTTCCTGTAGATGCATGATAATACTGGGCTCTATAGGGGGTGTTGCCGGTTTCCCAAAGCAACCCAGAGGTCAAATGAGTGGCGGAGATGAGGTTTGTCGGGAAATATTAACACTAGAAGCCTAGAGTCTGCAGAGTAAGTTGACAAGTTTTGCAGCTCAAACTTCCACATCAAAAACAGCTGTTCGTGCTTTAACTCATCCGTTCCATAATTTTAAGGAAGGTTGGGGTGAGATTCTTGACCTTGTTGCAGTTGTGATTTCCGATTTTCTTGGAACGCTGACGGTGTTTCAGTTGAATATTTACTGTAAAGCGACTCCGGGGAAATCCTACAATATGAAGATGTGGGAATCAATTATTTGAGACACAGAATTGGTTGAGATGAACCTTACGGTTGTGAGCCAGCACGGGCAGTAATTAATTAAGGGAGCACTGAATGAATAAACAAGCCAGGACGAAGGCATAGAATATAACTCTGGGGTTCCCTATTCTCCGAATCTTTTTTGTTCCATCCCCTTGGCCCGTGCCTCTTCGTACCACACATGAGCTAGAATCATTTGGAAAGTCAGGAACTGCAAGGAGCGCTCCAGGGCGATTGGTTGATGCTGCTCTCTGGTGCACTGGGTCTCTACTCAGGATTGTGCACATGCTTGGCTGTCACATCTAGTCATCGAAAGCCTGTGCATGTCAAGCTTCATGCAGCCCTCAGCTTTGAACGAGAGATTGGTCGAAACTTGAGAACTGGGGAAGTCGCAACAAATTCACTTGTGCAATCTGAGAGCATTTTTTCCAGACCGGTTGTATCGTAAAAGCTGCAACATGTGTTTCAGTGAGCTATGTTTCAGACCCCTTGGTGGAGGCTGGCTGTTTGCTTGTTTCTTGGTCATTTTGTTAACCATATTTTGGCCAGGATTCTTGATGGTTGGGTTTCTCTGTGTGACCTTGGGAAACGGTGTGCGGCCACGTTCTGGATATTCCTATGTATTTCAACTATCAACCTTTGCACTGGCAATCTTGATGGCCTTGGAGTTCCTGGTCCAGCAGCAAGCCCGGCAACGCTATTCGCAGTTCCACCTCAAGGATGGAATGGGCAACACGACACCGGCTTCAAGACAAGGACATAGGACATAACAAAACTGTTTATCAGAGGGCTGGTAGAGTTTGGCAAGTACATGGCAGTTTGACATATTTGGAGCTTGAACTTGGGTTCCAGCCAACATCAGTTAACATTGCTTTGCTTTGTCAGTACACATCGGCCTGAAGCAGGCGGATGTGGGCGTCATTTGGTACTACAATGCAACCCGTGTGTTCATGTCTGCATCCCAGCAACTCCTCCTCAATTGAGCACATTGAGCCTGTTCAATTTGTGTTGCAAAGTTTTGAGATACTAGCACGTGCTCCATAGTTTGAATTGCTTGGCGCTTCTGCATGCCGGTGTTGAGCACCTTAACACTTTTGATTACTGTAACTCAATGTTGAGAAAATGAACCTGTATGCAGCCGCTTAGTGAACCATCCCCAGGCTGTTCGCAACTCATAGCCTCTGCATGCTTTGTGCTATGCACTTGGGGCATGCGCAGCATTTTCAAAAATGTCCAGACTTACCATGGAGCGTGGCATGCAAAGAGGCTGGCACCACAAGCCAGTAGTAGGTGAAGTAGAATCAAGAAGAATTAAGAAGCAATATTTGTGAGAGCTACCTCATGAAATCCAATGGAATTAATTTCTCAAATGTTCTATTCCTTGAGTCTTTAAGCTTCAGTGCCTTGCCAGTTTTTTGTCAGGCTTTAAGTTGGTGTCTTTTCATGGTAATCGTGACTTCCGCGGGATATTGTGAACGCGTTGGGCATCTTTGGCCTCTTTGTGAATCCGAGAAGTCTCACGGCGCAATGCCAAACGCTTGGAACTTGGGACTGTAAACGACGCTTTGGTTGAACGATGGGATGAACAAACATGTCTTTTGTTCCACAGTCAAGGTTCATGATTGGTGCAATCTGGGAATGCAGCCTCTTTGGACTCCACATTGTCCTTGGCATTACTTTTCTGGCCTGTGGACTGCAGCACTCAACAGACTCTTGGTATGCATAGAGAAGTCTACTTATACACTGTTCATCATCGCAACATTAGAATCATGCGGCTCAGGGATTGATAATATCAATATTGTTTGGGGTATCCGATATCAATCTACTGTAGCACTATTTTGTAGTTGCAATGACATGCAATAACAATCGTATCATCATTCTCTCCAAGATGTCAACAGCCTGTTGGCCGAGAGGCACTGCATGCTGCAAAAGCTTCTCTGTGTTGTTGGTTGACATGAGTATAGCCGTTGACAATGGCTAATGGCTTGGAACGTTCCTATCATCCTCACGTCAAGATGACCATGCCTTTTTCTCTTGGCAAGCTACTTGACAAGCTACTTGCAGAGCTTTACAGGAAGCCCTTCTGCTTGGTTTCCACTTGGGACATGGTGCAAAGTGCACCACTATTGGGCTTGAACACAGTTCTTGCCATATCCTTTGTCATGATATGATTATGTTAGAACGAGCCGTACAAGTTTCGATCGACTTTGTGCCACGTCAGTCGCCGAAACTGGACCTGAGGAAGTCATACAACTGGCAACACATGCAGACTGGAAACTGGTGCCTGCTGCCATGAAGCCAGACACAAGAAGACCGGACGAGAAAAGGGTGAAGAGATCTTAGAGGTCTGTAGAGGTCTAGGACTCGTCTGGGAACATATTGTTTTTTTCCCCAAACAGTTTACTGTTGGGGTTCTATCTTAGAAAGAACAGAGCTGGCCACACTCACTGGCCGCGCCCCTGATCTCTGTGGCTGGGCCCTCTGGCTGGGCTCTGTGGCTGGGCCTTGTCCTCCTCTTG